ATTTTGATTTCTAGGAAAATTTTTAATTTAAGAATTAAGTAGATTTAAGATCTGTCTCTTAATCATCCATAAGGTTACTGAAATCTGTCCATCATAATCCTTCAAAATTTGGAATTCAGGAAGAAAAACTAAAGCCATTTGAAAAGTTCCTGCTGAAGCTAGAAGGGCAGTTACTTGATGGAATGATATTCCAGGTAAGTAGGGTTGTATCAGGCTGTAATGGTTGGACTTACATTAGGGGTGACACAGCTCAGAATTATAGTTAGGATGCTTTTATAGTACACTGTTGAATGTTTTTCTTTGAAAAGTACCTTGACTTAATATGATTATTAGTGTACTAAAGTATAATTATTTCAGGATCTAAAAGCAAACAAAATTAATAGTGTACTAGTTGTATTTAGAGTGAGAATTTTTTTAATTATGTAAAAGGATAACACTAAGGATTAAGGTCTAAGATCTAAATAATTGTGTTAAGTACAAGCATACCACATTTTATTGTGCTTCCCAGATAATTGTGTTTTTTACAAATTGAAGTTTTGTGGCAACCCTGCCTTGAGCAAGTCTAATCAGTGCCGTTTTTCCAACAGCATCGTGTTCATTTCGTGTCTCTGTGTCACATTTTGGTAATTCTCACAGTATTTCAAACTTTTTCATTATTATTATGTCTGTTAGGGTGATCTGTAATCAGTAATCTTTGATGATATTATTCTAATTGTTTTGAGGTGCCATGAACTGCACACATAAGATGGCAAACTTAATGCATGTTATATGTGTTCTGACTGCCCCACCAACTGGCCATTGACCCATCTCTCTCTTTCCTCGGGCCTCCCTATTCACAACGATATTGAAATTAGACCAATTAATAATCCTGCAGTGGCCTCTAAGCGTTCAAGTGGAACGAAGAGTTGCACATCGATCACTTTAAATCAAAAGATGTTACAGTTGATTAACCTTAGCGAGAAGGTATGTCGAAATCTGAGATAGGCTGAAAGCTAGGACTCTTGCACCAGTTAGCCAAGGCGTGAATGTAAAGGCAAAATTTTGGAGATAATTAAAAGTACTACTCCGGTGAACACACAAATGATAAGAATTCAAAACAGCCTTGTTGCTGATAGGGAGAAAGTTTTAGAGGACCAGATAGGAGATCAAACCAGCTACAGCATTCACTTAAGCCAAAGTCTAATACAGAGCAAAGCCCTAACTGTCTTCAATTCTAAAGGCTGAGAGATGTGAGAAAACTGCAGAAGAAAAGTTTGAAGCTAGCACAAATTGGTTCATGAGGTTTAAGGAAAGGAGCTATCTCTATAACATAAAAGTGCAAGGTAAAGCAGCAAGTGCTGCTGTAGAAGCTGCAGCAGTTACCTGGACCATCTATTAATAGTTAAGATCATTGATGAAGATGGCTACACTTAAACAACAGATTTCCAGTGTAGACGAAACAGCCTTCTATTAGAAGAAGATGCCATCTAGGACTTTCACAGTTAGAGAGAAGAAGCCAATGCTTGGCTTCAAAGGACAGGCTGACTGTCTTATTAGGGGTTAATGCAGCTGGTGAATTTTAAGTTGATACCAGTGTTTATTTACCATTCTGAAAATCCTAGGACCCTTAAGAATTATGCTAAAGCTACTCTGCCTGTGCTCTATAAATGAAACAAGAAAGCATGGATGACAGCACATGAATTCATAGCGTGGTTTACTGAATATTTTAAGCTCACTATTGAGACCTGCTCACAAGAAAAATTCCTTTCAAAATATTACTGTTATGACAATGCACCTGGTCACCCAAGAGCTCTCCTGGAGATGTAAAGGATATTAATGGTTTTGTTCATGCCTGCTAACACAACATCCACTCTGCAGCCCATGGATTGAGGAGTCATTTCAACTTTCAAGTCTTATTTAAGAAACACATTTCATAAGGTAATAGCTGCCGTAGACAGTGATTCCTCTGATGGATCTGGGCAAAATAAATTGAAAACCTTTTGGAAAGGATTCACCATTCTAGATGCCATTAAGAACATTTGTGATGCATGGGAGGAGGTCAGAATATTTATCTTAATAGGAGTTTGGAAGAAGTTGATTCCAGCCCTTATGGATGACTTTGAGGGGCTCACAGTGGAGGCAATTAACTGCAGATGTGGTGGAAATAGCAAGAGAACTAGAGTTAGAAGTGGAGCCTAAAGTTGTGATTGAATTTCGGTAATCTCATGATGAAACTTAAACAAATGAAGAGTTGCTGTTTATGGATCATCAGAGTAAGTGGTTTTTTGAGTTGCTGCTTATGGATATGCAAAGAAAGTGGTTTCTTGAGATGTAGTATACTCCTGGTGAAGATGCAGTGAACATTGTTGAAATGACGAGAAACTTGGTTGAAAAGCAGTGGTAGGGTTTGACTCCAGTTTTGAAAGAAATTATACTGGGGTAAAATGTACCAAAGAGCATTGCATACTACCAGACAAATCTTTTGGGAAAAGAAGAATCAATTGATGCAACAAACTTTTTTTGGTCTTATTTTAAGAAATTGCCACATCTACCCTAGCCTTTAGCAACCACCACCCTGCTCAGTCAGCAGCTGTCAACATGGAGGCAAGACCCTCCACCAGCAAAAAGATCATGACTTGCTGAAGGCTCAGCTAAAAATTGTTAGCATTTTTTAACAATAAACTGCTTTTTAATTCATGTACATTTTTAAAGACATAATGCTATTGCACACTTAATAGATTACATTATAGTCTTAACATCACTTTTGTATGCCCTGGGAAACTACAAAATTTGTGTGACTCATTTTATTGTGGTGGTCTGGAACTGAACCTGAAATATCTCTGAGTTATGCCTGTGTTGTGTTTGTTGTTAACCTGTAGATTTAGGTTTGTAAGACTACCTTTAAAAAGTCTTTGTTCTTTCTAGTCTTAGGGAATATAATTTGGGTCTGAACAGTCCAGTGTGGTAGCTTCTAACCACGTGTGGCTGTTTAAATTTAAATTAATTAAAATAAAATTCTTTCTTAGTCACAATAGCCACATTTCAGGTGCTTAATAGCCACATGTAATAGCCACATGTAAGTTCATAGCTAGCCATCATATTAGAATGCACAGATGTATAGAATATTTCCATTATCACAGAAAGTTCTGTTGTACTGCACTACTTTAGGTAGCTTCCACCAGAAATTACATTATATTCCATTTAAAATCTGCTTCATGATTACTTTTAGTTTATATTTTACATGATCACAGTTTTAACAGGTTGATCCCAACTCTTGTTTACAGTTGACCCTTGAACAACATGGGTTTCAACTCTGTGGGTTGATTCACTTATATGCAGATTTTTTTCCAATAAATATATTGGAAATTTTTTGGAGATGTGTGACAGTTTGATAAAACTTGCAGATGAATAATGTAGCCTAGAAATATCAAAAAACTTCAGAAAACGGTATGCCATGAATGCATAAAATATATAGAAGTACTAGTCTGTGTTAATCGACTTTATGTTATTGGTAAGAGTTGTGGTCAATACTATACACTAGGCTATTAGTAGTTAAGTTTTTTGGGAGTCAAATTATACACACATTTTCTGCTGAGTGATGGTTGGCATTCGTAATCCCTACGTTGTTCAAGGGTCAGTTGTACATCTGTTTAACTGGTAGTCCATTAGATTCGGAAGAAAATGTTTTTGTTCTTGGTTGTTTTTCCAGGAGATATTTCCACACATGCTATAATAAAGTTCTAGGAAGGTAATTGTGAATGGAAAACATAAACTTAAAAGTGCACAGTAAAATAAAAAACATGCTTCCAAAGCTTTATCAGATATATTTCTGTAC